CGTAGGAACCATTTTCAAAATAGACATTTATATACCATTCGATAGCCCTTTGAAAGGGCTACATTTTCCACTATTTGTATTTGAATTAGGAGCAACTTCGATTTTTCACCTAATTTCCGCCTGGATGTCCACTGTGTAATGGGCTGTAACACATAGGAAATATCGTTTTCTTCCAGACTTCCATAAATCAGCAGTGAGCGCAACATTTTCAACATTTACCAGCTTTTGCTTGAGATTTTGTATCATTTTGTATCATTGTATATAAAGAAAGAAGACGACGGCGCACTGTTCTCGAGTGTGGACCTCGATAACCTGGAATTCCCTCTTTCATGAATAACTGCATACCAGGACGACGAAAATCGTTGAATGGTCTGCTATCTTTGACAATGCATCGAATTGCTGCATCATCAAACAATTTCTTTGTCTCATTTGGTATCACTGACGCGCTAGTTTTTTGAGATTTGTATAACAGTCGAGTAATACCATGCGAGTTCGCCAAATGTTTACAAATATTCGCTGTTGTTCCCGTACCACACCGATAGTGCTATTAAAAAGTAATATTGAAAGTAAGACTATTAAGCAACAGTTCATATAAGTGACTATCACTGGAATCCACATATGTCCACAAGTCTTTGTAAAAATGCTGCCCGTTATTTTAGCATATTCCAGATGAATAGGAGGGCTCATTCTTCTCCCTGTAGAAAGTGAAGAGTGACCCGAAAACACACAGGAAATAAAAATTTTGAGGTCAATCTTAAGTTAGAACAAATTTAGATATCAAAATCAGCAAAAAGCCCAATTGTAACTTTAGGCTCTAACTTCGTAAAGTGTATTTTCTTCTCTATATAACAAAATATGTCTGAAACGCTATAACTATCAAAATTGAAGATGTTTTTATGTCTCTATTGAATTCGACATAATATATGATGTCATGAGCCATATTTTAATCAGAAGTTGACAAATGTTTTCCTTAGTTTAAAAACATACACTTAAGTGTATTCAACTAATAGTTTTCAGATAGTAAACAACTGCTTTTTCTAAATCGCATTTTTCCTTTACAAACTGATATTATTAATATCTGATATTTCTTGACTATTATCCATTTAAAAAAAGAATGCACTCGGATGTGTTTTGAATAACTCGAGAATGAAATGAGGTACAGAGCTGCGTTTTTCAGATTATAAGAGGACACTCCGAGGAATAATCCTCCAGACAGATCTACCATGATATACCTTTCGAAGCAAAAGGTTGGAGCCGGTCATTCCACAAATACACATAGCGATACATCTACCATCGTTCATTTCTCAATCAAATTGCTTCGAACTTTCAAAACCCACTCAGTTTTGCCTGCTATACAGTGTTGGAAGGTTAAAATTTGTTTTCATACCGAGATTTCACCCGAAGGTCTTGTAAAAAACCTTTCAAGGTATCATTTAACTTTCTGCACTTTTGTTCGTATAATGTGGTGAAACACTTTAACCTAAGTTTATTCTGAAACTTTAAAGCAATTTGACTGAGAAATGAAGACGCTATAAGATTTTTATTTTAAAAGTTTTAGTTATTTAGTTAGAAGTTTTAGTTATTCAAAACACATCCGAGTGGATTCTTTTTTGAAATGATAGTAATATACATTTGACCCTGAATAACTAAAGTATTTTGTAAAAAGAATATGTAAGAAGCAACTTTATCGTCAAATAAGGCACATTTCTCCGTAGATGGGGACAAGAAATCTCTAGCGACATTAAGAGACAGAATTAAGCACAAGGAATCTGACAAAAACTATGAGAACTCAAATTTTTTATTACAGTGCACATCAGTATTTGACACTGACCAGAGTCTGCTGGTGATATAGAGACAGTCTACTCACTTTTGAACAAAGTTTGCATTGAAAATCATTCGGTGTTATTGGTTCTGCATATTCGAACACTGGCGAAGGATTAGCATTGTTAAATTTTGACCTCGTCGATGTGGTAACTTCATCTTCGCTGATGTCACTATTTTCACTTTTATTATCATCTTGTTGAGTCACTGTTGTCGTTTGATTAGTAATACAGCTTGTATTTCTTTTGCTTTTGGCACTTCGTCGACGTCTTCTTGGTTTAAAATCAGATGGTGATAAGGTAGAAAGATGACAGTCTTATATTATCTTTTGATAACGAGGAAGAGCCTTTAACCATTTTCAATATACTCAATTTGAATTTTGTGTTTATAATATGATGGCGCATCTACACTTATCTTTACTATATATAGTTAAATCTCTTGGCGTTTACATGATGACTAGAAGCTTCTTTATAATCTAGTCCGCTAAATACATACTAGATCACCTTGTTGGCTCTCCTTTTTCTTGTTCTTTTGTACATGGTACTACATACACTTGCCTAGCCACAAAAATACATACACTATGATATCGGCTGCACGCTTTACTTTTAAAAGAAAATATAGAGCAACAAACATCCTTTAGAGAAAATGTAAAATCATATTGATGTGCTCGTAACGACTAAAAGCTGTCAAATAAAGATTTTCTATATGTATTCTTTATATGAACAACATGGCAGTATCGTCTGTTGGGGCTGAACTAGATGAATTTGTTATAGTATAAAAAACAAGATAAATGAGTATCAGTTTTTCTACATCTTGATTACGCAGAAAACGATAACTGATGTCCAGCTCCAGTTACTGCGAACGGTAACTGGTGACCAGTTCCAGTTAGTAGTAACGGTAACTGGTCACCAGTTCTTTTAACCAGTTACTAGAAACAATAGGAACTGGAACTGTCCCACCCCTAAGTCAGACATCAACATATCTATTAGCATTTTTGTCATTGATTATAGAGCTACTGGCTATAATGTAAATCATGTCAATTAACCCCTTGAGGACGGGAAGCCTATATATAGGCAAAAGTACCGACACCCTCGTAACTGTTGTTAACTCGAGAACCATGATAGCTAGGGACTTCTAATTTTGTGTGGTCATAGCTCTTACCGAATGCCAGAGCTGGGCAAGTCAAGTCAAGTCATTTTTGACTTGACTTGACTTGAAACTTTTTTTAAAAGACTTGACTTGTCTTATGACTTGGCATAAAAAATCAAGTCAGGTCATGCATATTTTTAAACCGTTTATGCAATCTAATTTTAAATAATAATTCATAATGATTTCATTAAAAATACGTTTGAGTTATTTTTTAGAGTTTCTGAAAAACTAGTTTTCCAGAAAACCGGATCTCTAAGAGTCATCGTTTTAGGATATTTACTACCTCACTGAGATCTATCGATCCATGTACAAATCATTGGAATCGGAAGGTTACAGCTCGAAAGGTTCCCTCGTAAGTGCTCGTGCTACGTGTGTATTATTTACGTGTGATTTGTTTTTGAACTATGTTAGACTCATTAGAGCATTGTCTTTCTTTATGATTATCTTTTGAAATACATCTTTTTTGGAAATACCAAAAACAAACATCGTACCTAAACAAAATGCCGAAGCTCGTAGAAAACTTGTAACCTGCCCAGCTTCTCTGTGGGCATTTTTCTACGGAAAATAAAAATTCCAAGTCATGACTTGTGACTTGACTTGACTTGACTTGGAAAACCCGTGACTTGCCCAGCTCTGCCGAATGCTAATCATCCACCAAGTTTGGGCCTCTTTTACTGGATGGTTCATGAGATATAAGCTATTTATTTCTTTTCCGTAAAATATCAATAGCTCCTGATCTTTCATCTCTCGATGAAAACTTTTTCTTTTTACTAAAATGTACCCACAATTCTACTCTATTTACGATATGAATTTCGTGAGTTGGTTGTTCGTAGTCAGTGAAATACAGCTATTTTACAGGAGAGGATTACTTTTTTTGTCGATGAGTCGAGGTCTTTTGCGAAAAAAAATTCACAACTCAGTCTAGGAGCATTATTTTGACTTCAAATTCACATCAAAGACTCTACAGTGTCTGTAGATTATCTACTCAAAGTATGAAGATTAACTATTGTGTAGTTCTGAAAATTTAATGAGAACGAGCACCCACGAGTGAAAAATACGTAGAAGAGCGAGGGTGAGGAACTAAGGGTCGCTCTTTCTACTATAGAATCTGCATTCAATGTACATCATAATCATGAAAAAATAATCATAGAAACCTGTGGTTTCAAAAAGCGTATGTGAAACTTTTGTCAGAAAGATTACGCACTCACCTCTGAAGAAAAGAAATGAAACGCTTATATCTGGTGAACCATCCAGTAAAAGAGGCCCAAGCTGGATGGGCGATCAGCATTTGGTAAGAGCTATGACCACACAAAATTAGAAGTCCCTAGCTATCATGGTTCTAGAGTTACAGGGTGTCGCTACTTTTGCCTATATATAGGCTTCCCGTCCTCAAAAGGTTAATAAGCGTTACTCGTAAAATTATTCATCATCAATCTTTGCTAACATTGACCACTGGTTCATAGTTGAATGAACTGAAAACACAGAGTGTCTGTAGCATAGACAGTAGTTATTCTGTAATATTTATTTAAAATATCAGTCACACCTGTAAGAACGGTTTTTCAAAAACCATTTTGAGGTAGTTTTTACTATGAACGCACCGCATCGAATGAACACGTTCTCCGTATAAGCAAGTCTTTGGCTTAAGAGCGGTGGGTTTTCCCGTTTAGATTCGGATCAAACTTTGTCAATGTGTAAAGAACACCTTTAAAGGCATACCGTAAAATGTTCAGCTCTTACGGACACTGTCCGCATGAGTTAATCAAATTCAAAAATCTTCAGTTTACTTTGGCCAACTTTTAAAAGTAAAATAAAATTTTCAAATTTGAATTTTGAACTTCATTCCTGATGTCATTTGACACAGCACATCGAAATATATACATATGGGCAAAATGTGTCATCGTTATTGAACAAGATTTGGCAGAGATATTTGAAAATCACTTTGATAATGAATTTTTCGTGCAAAAAGCAGAGTTTCTGGATAACGATGAAAAGTTTTTGTAAATGCACCTCGACGTGCTGTATAGAATGACGATAGATGCGAGCTTTCACATCGAAAACAATAAAATTTCTATTAAAGTTAAAAAAAATGGGACAAAAAACCGAGAAACATATTAATAATTTTGAAAAATTTCTTGTGTTTCGTACTCATTATAAGTTACATTTCGACAAGATAATTTACTAATACTCTATCAACTTCCATTGATAATTTTTAATGATCTGTCGCTGGCATAGCATCCACACCAACAAGTTTATTCATTATTATTATAAACAAGTTTAATCGACAGAAATAACAGTAGTATCAACAGTAGCAGCAAAAAGAAACATAAGTATTTAGAAAAGCAAGTATAGAAGGATTCACGTGCTATTGTCATTCCACTACGTACCACTTAATACATATACAAGATTCCTGTATGTGATAAACGATTGAGAACTGTAGCTCAACTTAATATCTTCCTGAAACGTTTTGAAGCAGGTAATGGTAGTGTGGTGCAACTGCTCAACTTCATAATGCTTCCATAAAACAATTGATAAATAAAGGATTTCGTAGTTTGAATATCAAAGCTGAAATGATCATTTGAATACGGTACAAATACTTAAACAAACAAAGAAAATATTGACACAAAACTTTGAATTTCGCTCTACATCATAGTCTGAAAGTATTGATCAAAGTGTTTGTTATGATTCATTTCCTAAGCTTGAATATAAACAAGGAAATCCAATGATTTTGTCTATACAGAACGTTTAGGAATATATGATGAATTGAACAGGTTTTTGTTCAAAAATTACTTTACTACTATTAGGTACTATTAATAAAAATTTACCCGATTCTGTGGCTGTTTTTCATCACTATATTTTGTTCATACATTAAACTGACGGATTTTCTTTTCTTTCTCATGTGTATAACAAACATAAAGTCGAAAAATGAAAGAAAACGGTACAGAAAGACGGAGAGAACAGGACGTGAACTTATGACTGCGTCGTAGATGAATGAGCACTGAATTATTTTATAGTATTGAGGAAAATATTTTTTAGTTTTTAACCCCTACTTCCAATAAACATTTTTTCAGATAGACTCATCTGCAAGTACGAGGGCAAAATTATGATTTTCTTGTTTTTTCGTCTAAATAATTTCGAAGTGAAGTATGTATAGCTTCTATACTTGATGAGGCATCGTATTCATTCGAAAACCTATAACTAATATAAAAATCTATAACAGAAACAACACGTTACATTTCTTTACAATATCCACAGAACACATAGCCGAAAATCCTCAACTCTTATCTTATGTTACTATACCATACCACAGTCTGAGAATTCTCGGAGAATTTTGATCAACTAACTACTACCCGAAGAATTATCTTTATTTCTAGAATTATTTTCTATTTTATAATTATCTTTATTGTATTGATATGGCGTCTCTTATTGTTTGTTTATTATGGATCATAATTTGGTCGACAGTCTATATATCATTTGTTCAGTTTGATGAGGTGTGTATCATCAGTTGCTTTTTTCAAAACAGAACGAGACATCCTGAGCGTGTGAGAGACAACCAATTTGCTTTACTCGTCACAGCACAGAAGTTACTAAGAGCATTTTTTGTTGAAATACGAAAGATATTACCAAAAATCTGGGCTTTAAGATAGGGATAACTCGCCCATTCAATAATTCTCCTTTTCTTCTCACTTTAAAACAACCGCCACAGACTCACTACAATCTCTTAGCAGGTTCCTGAAATTATAATATTGCATGGTATTTTCACATGACTTCGTCTGATGTTTCTGTGGCTATATTTAGACTATGGGAAGACAACCTGATGCAAACAGTAGATTTTTCTGGATAATAATGACAAGTGTTACAGTTCTGAAAGTGTTAAAGAGCAATATTTAGGGATATGGCGAACTTTTCTTCAGATCTGTGCAAGCAAATATACTTATAAACTATGGATGTTAGAAGAATTTTGTTTATAATCCATTTCTTTCTGTCTACCACCAGCTCAACAGGTGACACATTTGTATCTTCTTCTATAGTATGTGCCCGGAAGACGGCGAATGGCTTTGGCGATTGGTAATGGTGGTTATATCGAAACGGAACCTATTCATCATGCAATTGCCGATGCTACAAATATGTGTCAAATATTGGCTAAACTGCAATTCCATTGTAAAACCGGATTTGATCTTAGCCAAAAGGCATTAAATTCCGTTGTAAATGATTTCATTGACAAAATAAATAATAACGATATTGTACTGCTGTATTACAGCGGACACTGTAAAGAAACAAATGTACGTACAATTGTAATCAAATCCGAGTTCGAATGATCTTGTCTCTATACAGTAGTGAGATGTAAGGAAGAAAACTTCCACCAGTTCTACAGAGATAACTGTCGAAGAAGAAATAACAGGGATGATAGCTTTTTTACAATGGGATGAGCATACTTGCTTTCGAAATAGAAGAATACGAACACAGAAACGCACTGTGAGAGCATAGCATTTCGTAGAAGGTGTTCATCAAAAAAATAGTTAGAAAAACCGTCAATTTTTCCGATAAGTTGAGAAAAAGCCTAGCAGATGTCGTTTTCGAAAACCGTAGCTAAGTTTTGGCATTAGCAACGATGCAGTCTCAAGGAAAACTCAGTCTACCACTGTCTTTTTTGTTCTATTTAGAACAATAACTATATCATTCCGATTACAAAATCTCAATTCCAAGACTGTAAACAACATTATTTTAACGTATGTGATATATTGAAGAAAATTAAAAAATTTTATGGGCTCACAGTCATAATTATATTAGATTGCTGCCGTATAGATTCATGTAAATATGCACAGTTGATAAATGACAAAAATCAGCCATGCAATCAGGAATGTCCCATTTATAATGAATTAAGTTTTCTATATGCAACAAAAAAAAAATATTCAGCTTGGTATCCTTCAAAGAGCGATGATTCATTTAAATACAGTTATTATTCTCATTCGTTATTTAAGCACATCGGAAAATCGAATTTGGAAATAAACGAAATTGCTCGATTAGCTCAAATGGACGTTGAAAAAACCATAGACGACGAAAATTATCGTTATAAAGCTTTAACAGAAATGTTTGTTGAACCGGAAATTAACTCAAAATGTTTAAAAAGACGATTTTTTTTTAATCGAACACAATAAAACAAGTTTCGTTCATCTTCGATTCACTGACCCTTGACTGAAAATGGGTTTTTAGCGATGATTTGGTGTTAGTATGCGCTTAGCTTTTTAAAGGGATGGAGAAACAGGAAATTTTTGTTCATTTATGTGCATGATTGCATTAGATCCAATGACATATGACGTTTTGAAGGACATATTTCCTAGGATTTGATCGTTAACATTAGGAGGCGTTTACTCATTTTATTTAAACAGAACACGGAAAAGCAGAAGGAAAACAGTAACTGAACTGAAAAACATCTAAAGTGAACTCTATAATAAGAATGTTTACTATTTACGCTCGAGATTCAAAAACTCCTCACCTGAAACAGGCACTATATACAGAAAGAGAGAATTTTCTGGGATTCAAAATAAACTAT